AGAGAAGCAAATCATTGCAGAAGTTTCATGTGTTCCCAGTGGAGCCCGCTGACGAGCCTTGTGCAGATAAAGGCGTCAGTTAGGAGATGGACGTGCCCGGGAGACCTCTCCGCTGTCACTCCACCCCTGTGACCCAGGCAGTGCAAATAACATGCAGTTTAGTTCATGAAAAGAGAGAGAGGTGCACAAACAAAATGGCATGAGTGGAGCAGGGCATGCTTCTCAAGGCCCAGCACGACGGAACCTTCTGGAAACAAGCGGGCAGCAGGTCTGGGGAGGGACGGGCCTGCAGTTCTCAGCAGAGCCCCCCGAGAACCGCCGGGTTAGGGGTCGCTGCTCAGAAAGGCTGTAGCACAGCCTCAGGCAACAACAGCCATTAGTATTCTCTTTGTAGCGTCAAAACAGTCAGGTCAAGCCTCATGGAAAATACAGTTTGTTAATTGAGAATAATTTTTTTTTTAAAAAAAAAGTCTCTCTCTCTCTGCCTTTTTTTTTCTAAGTTTGCAACAAAACACAAATTTGGAGAGAAACTCCTTAATGTCACCGAAAAAGCCCCATTAACTGAAACGACCTGGTAGAGAAAGAACAAGGCCTGGCTGTTGGCGGGGAATGTATTCAAGTCAGGTGTGGGCAAAGGTGAGAAAGCAGAGACGTTAATGTCATCTGAGTGCCGCGTGGGTTTGTCCTCAGGGGCGAGTGGTCGCCACGGGGCCTGAGTCTGGCAGCCTGAACTGCAGGCAGCAAGCTCTTACACCGGCTGTGCGGGCACAGACCCCAGAGCCCATGGGAAGCACCCGCCCACCATCCCCAGTCACTGGCCAGACTCGGGCGGCCCGAAGCCTGATGCCACGTGTCCCGCCAGCGCCCTTCTCTTGAAAGGGAAACAGAAATGCACACAGTGAAATGCTTCACTCCCACCGTGTCCTTCGTGAGTCTGAAAATGCCCACCAGCGCATTCGGGGGCCTCGGTCCTGAATTCTGAAGGCCATCTCAGGGAGCAGGGTGAGTGGCTCTGCCCAGAACAGGTCCGAAGCCCTGGCCACCCACAGCCCGCGGGGCCCTGGTGGTGTCAGGGAGGGTGCCTACCCTGCAGTGGATGACGACCACGTGCTGCGGGTCGCTGTGCAGCCACGACTCCTGCGCCTTGCAGATGGTGCACACCTTGTCCAGGGGGGGTGCGTGCAGCTCCGGCCAGCCCACGTCCAGGATCTGCAATGACAAGGAGGCCTCAGCTCCCGCCTCCGGCCCGCAGAGGCCACCTCAGGGTGCTGTTTGTATTTACCAACGTGCTCCTCCCAAGGGCACAGCACCAGCCGCGTGCGGCTTTTCAAACCCTCAGTGGGAACTGTGCCAGGAAAGAAAACGCGAGGGGTTAAGTTGCCCCAGGAGACACCTGTCCCCGGGTCTTATCTGCTCGGGTCTTATCTGCTTTTCCGAGCTGGAGCGACGATTCTAGGTAAGGGCTCCCAGGAGCTGCTAATGGTGGAAGGCCTGCGGGGAGGGGGGCCAGCAGGACCTGAGACAGGACTTCTTGGCCGAGCCGCTGCCCAGGTTCCTCTGTTACGACTACAATCGAGCTTGGGAGACTGCAGTGAGCCAGCTCCAGGACCTCGGGAATAACGTCTCAGATGAAGGCCCAAGGCACCTGCTGGGGACACAGGCACTTCCCAAGAGGGGACAAATGTGTCCCGAGGCAGGAAAGGCCTCTGAGCCTGGATCACAGGAGAAGCGCCACAGTGTGGCAGCAGGTCTGTGCCCACAAAGCAGCACTCTGGCAGCCGGAGCCTCCCACCCCCCAGAACCTGCAGCCAAGCCCCCCGCCCCCGGAACCTGTGGCCCTGGGTCCCTCCCTTCCTGCTCCTTCCTTCCACGGGGGAGGAGAGGCAGAGCTCTACCATATGATAAAAGCAATGGAAATAGTGCAAACTGATGGAAAAATCCAGAAAACAGCCAGGAAGTCAGATAAGCGCTCAGAAGTGACGGCTCTGACACTTCAATGAATCCCTTAGACCTCTACACACAGGTGACAGAGGAGACGGTGACACATACACCCCTGGTCCGCCTCTGTCAGGCAGCACACAACTTATCATCTCCCCATCCTGTTATTCTAACGGCTGCAAAACATCCCCACATATGAAGCACATCTACATCATGTACACCACAAGAATCGTGGGTGGAGTGGGGCTGGGAGCGCGTGACTGTCCAGAGGTGGCAGGCGGGAGACACCTGCGGTAGAAATGTCCTGTGTTGATGGCAGCAGTGATGGCACAGATCACGCAGGGTGAGCTGGCAGGGAAACACACGTGTGCACGCGCACACACGGCTGCCTGTCAACCCCGTGGGGCCGAAGGTCTGGGGGCTGCACTGACGTCACACCCCTGCCTTTGACATTCTACCAGCACCTACGCAAGACTCTGCTGGTGGTGGGGCCGGGGTCAGAGCCACGCGGGACCTCTCCATGTTGTTAGTGTAATTTCTTGTGCGTCTATAATTATTTCAAATTAAAAAAATTTTTAATTTGAAAAAGTAGCCATGAACACAAACAGCTCCTGATGTCCCTTATCAAGTCCCACAAGCACGTGAAACAATGTTGCACGGCAGGCTAAGCGCCGCCCACAGTTCACACACTCGATACACAGGACCCACGGCCATACCTTTGGGTTCAGCTTCGTGAGGTCGTATCTCTTTTCCGAGAGGTTTAATACCTAGGAAGGAAAGATAAGAAGCTATTGGGCAAATCACTGTCCTGGGGAATCAAAGAAAAAACACAATTTCATTTTTACATGCAGTTTACCTTCGAGGATTATAAAAGATTGACATGTATAAATATATCATTGTCACAGAATACAAAACAAACAAAATAAATGTAAAAGGACAGCACCCAGAATCCCGTGG